ACAAGGTCCCTTCTGACCCTACTTCTATGATTCTATGAACATAAAGTAGAGAGACAGTGTTTTATTAGTAGGGAAAAATTCTTTTATATCTCAGTAACAGATACTACTGAAAACACTAAGCCTATAGTGAAACCTGCTTCCTTCTTCTAATTGTTAAATACTCCACCTCAGCGAGAGTATTTTACCTCTTCCCATTCTCATGGGTGGCATTAGACCATTTGCTAAACATACGGACACATTTGCTTTACTTCCCAATCCTGCCACTTCTCCACCTCATGTAATTTCATCCAAAAACTGAATGTTAAACGTCTTTCCCTTGCAAGCCTCATTCTTAAGGCTTATTTCCTCACAAGAATCAAATTCTAAATAACTTGTTTTAGACTCATTTTCTGAATCTCTGCTGTACCAGAAAGAGCCAGGAGGCGTCACTAGTGCTGGTAAAGTACAATTAATATGTATATTTTCCCTTATGCTAAGCATTACTCTGTTCTTAGATAGAGTTGTGGGGCCAAATTCTATTGTCTTTTACATCTAAAAGCAAAACAAGTTACACAGGAATAAGTACAGGCACTACATAGCTCATAATCCATTATGGCTTGCTATGGGCCACAAAAATTTGTGCTTGTCTGTAGTCATATTTGAAACACATGCCAAATATGTGTTGATCATTAATAACGGCTTGTTGCAGTTATTAATGATGCAAATGGTCAACAGCATCCTCTATCTGACAGTTACAATAGCTCCCAGCTTCAGCACTTAAAATAAGGCTCCACTGAACAATTTTGCAAGCCATGAAGGGAGGACTCCAGGCTCCAAGGGTGCCATAAGCCTGAAATATTGCTAAAATAATGTTCCCTTCTACACACTATCAATGCTTGACACTCTTGAGTTGGTGTTAGAAGTGTCCATGCAGAAAACCCACTTTCCCCAAAACAGTATTGTTTTGAATGGTGTTAACTTTAAAGGGGTTGAAGCAATATGATAATCTAATTAATTGGTGAGGAGCCTAAAAAGTTCTACTGGATGTTTTGTTACAACTCTCTCCATCCCAAAGTATCCATTAATTTCCAAACCACAGTGATACATGCCAGCTAACAGCACTGTAGTTTTTTGGTTTTGTTTTGGTTTTGTTTGTTTGTTGTGGGGGTTTTTTGGGAGGGGTGGAGGGGAGGTTCCTTCAATGTTGCTAGTGAAGATCAATCTATGGAGGGAAGAGTCTTGACCTCAACTAGCTGAACAAGAGATTAAAAAATAAATACAAAAATAAAAACCTTACCTGGATCTTTATGCCTATCAGGTTTATTTAGGAGAGCCCTCTTCAGAGTAAAGTGCACCCCATTTTTTAGGTGAAGTCTAAATGAGCAACTGTAACTCATTTAACATTTTCAGGCAAGATCAGACTACTGGTAACAGGGTTGGTGTTTTTGTGATACCTTGCCAGCCCATTATAAACTGCCAGGGAAGCCCTAAACCATATTTAGAAGGTACAATAAATACCGGTAGTTAGAGATGGGGAAATTAATGCAATCCACCCCAATAAATTTATCTTCACAATATTCCTGTGTGGTAGAGAGGCAGCATCATTCCTTCCCTAATATTAAAAAGGGAATGCAGGCACACTATAACTTGCCCAATGTCACAGGAAGTCTGTGGAACAGCTAGGATTTAAACTCAGATTTCTTAAATCTTAATCTGGTGCCCAAACCACTAGACCTAGGTATAAAAGAATAAAATAAATTTCTAAAAGCTCTGTAGATTCCATTAGCAATAGTTTTAATAAGAAAGACTAAAAACATTATGACCGTTCAGGAAGAACTGTCACCTTCTTACATTTTAATTCGTGAAGATATTAAGAATCTTTATAACCCACCAATTAACATCTATCACAAGGAACAACAAATTTGTCTCCTTATGATTTTTAGCAACTACTTTCCATTTGCCCTTTTCCCTTGACAGTGCTCCTGTGTATCATCCTGTCAGTCTCCTCCCTGCATTCTGTTTTTCTTGATGCATGCCTAAACTACTTCATCTTTAATTTCTTGCTTTCCCAGTAACAAGCACTCCTAATGCACTGCTTTTATTTCAGTGGGTTAGTCTGTCTTTATTTCCATTAAATGAAATCTTAAGGAAATATGGAAAGCATATTTCTGGACACCGGATGAAACAGGGTATAAAAAATTATAGAGTCTCAT